AAGAAGTCTGTCATTAGTATTTCGAGATATTTTCGGAAATAAGCAAGAAGCAGTAATTTTTGTAATGATGTATCATAATGACTGGCTGCCAATGAACATTCGAGTGAAGGAACTTGCGGACGACCCCCTTAGAGACTCGACCACCTGCCGACCCAAGGGGTCCCCTTTGTACTATTTTGAGTTATCTATTCTTTGCTGACTGACCACAAACTTTTTCTAAAGTTGTCTTTGGCGCCAATGTTTACCAATTTTGAGGGGAAAAGCGCCTGAAAAGCAGAGCGGCGTTTGTTTTGGCCTGTTTTTTTTTCAAAAATTTGCCTGCAGCGGAAAATTTTGGCCAAAATGGGGTCTCTAGATTGCTTTGGAAGATCTCGGAAAAGTTTTTGAAAATTTTTCAAATCCCGCCCTTAGCCTCTCGTCAAAATCCTAGATCACCCTGAGAACTAAACATTTTGGCCCCATATGCATTTTTTTGAAGGAAAAATCTCAAATCTGACGTTGTTTGACGCGGTTTACCCTCAAATTTAGTGCATTTTGTTGCTCAAGGTTTCTTTAGATAAGTTTAACGGTTGGTCAACCAAAATGGATGTTGTAGAACAGTACCCGGGACTCTTTGAAAAAACTTGGGACGTAGAATTTATACAGGATACGGGTTGCCCTCGGCGCGCTAATGTGTAAAGTTATTTTTCCGGTCATCTGAATTTGTTCAAAAAGATACGGAATCTCATCTGTCTTAAATTAGAACCATGATGCTAAATCATTTTTTGATGACTGTTTATACTTTTTATCATGAGAAACTACAAGCAGTTGTTCCATTTTTTGTGCATTTCGCGGTCAAACCGAAATGAAAAAAAAATTGGAGAGCAGGACTGCTGGTATCAGAACAAAACGCTAATTGTTCCGATTAAGAAAAATTAAGAAATTTGGATTTTAGTTGTTAGGCAAATATTTCCGCCTCAAGCATATCGAAGTAAAAGTTATTATTGTTCCGACTTTTGAAGAAAGTGCCGAATTTCATGCTTAAAGTGGTTTTTCTTATTCAATCAAATTTCGAGTGTTTAATGTTTAACTATGCATTTTTGAAAAAAAAAACATTTTCAATACCCTCTGAAAGATATTGTTGTCCTAAGCTCAAACTTAAAAAGAGATTTTAACTGCGATGACTTTTCCTTATAAGATTTGAAAATTGCTAATTGACAAATTTGAGATAATGAAAATTTAACGCGCGATATATTGCGTTCTTATAACACGCGTAAGTAACAGGTTGATGCGTTTCAAATTGAATTGAGGCATGTAATTTTGTCTTTATATTAGGATACAATACGCAAAAAGTATCCTCTTATAGTTTACATTGGTTTGTGGTGGGAATAATATTAAGAACAAAGCACCTTTTCTTCTTCTTTTTTTTTATTATTTCGTCAGCTTGTCTATAAAAAACTTCGCCCTGATATACGAGCAGTCTTGTCTTTATTGGTTGTTATTACGACTTTTGTTGTTACGAAGTGTTGGTATTACGACAATTTAGTTTGCCAATTTGGATGGACCGTAAACTGGATTCATTTACCTCTTTTTACGCTACGCTTTGAGAAAAAACTCGTAATTAGCGAGAAATCATTATCACTTTTCGGCCAAAATGACAAAACTCAAGCATCCAAAATTTGCATTAAGTTATGTTTTTGCTCTCAAGAACTGCTTGATAATGGATAAAAAATGTCTATCAAAAAATGGCATAATGAATGTAGAGTAAAAACGACAGAAATTGTATTTTTTGATTCGAATACGTTATTGATGAAAAAAGCCAAAAAGTTAAGTCATAGAACCAGGAAAGAAGGCGTTTTCTTCTGGCAAATAGAAAAAACTTTCTTTCAAAAAATTAAAATTTGCAATATTTAAGAATCAATTATAAATGGCATAGAGGGCAAACAGATAAGTCAAAAGAGAAAACGAGCGATAATCTGTCTGTCTTGCAGTCTGCTTCAAATGCTTTTTGAGGCTGTTCCAGTTCTTTTCTGTGGGAGTCATTAGCTTCCCGGTTTGCTCTCTGTAGATCAATATTGCTTGCCACTTATTTTTATACTAGGAAAATTTTGAAAAATTTGTGAATTTTCTATGACTAGCCCTGTAATAGTAAATTTCATTCAACAAAGTTTTGTTACTACAATCTGCAAGAAAAAAAACAGAAAAATTATTTATGGCAGCAGCTTTTAATAAGAAAAAGTAGGAAAAATCCTTTAGTTCTTCGGATTATTGCACAAAAAGTTTTTTAAGTATTCTTTGAGAAAAATTGCATACAAAGCATTAAAATTACAAACAATTCAAACCTTAAGCTGACTTGAAATGTTTTGCCGTATCCCGCTGAAGCAAATTCAATTATCTATTAAAACATTTATTTGCCAAAAAATATGAAAGTCTTTAAAAAGTTATCAAAAATGTAGTCCAAATCCACCCATTTCAAAACAAAAAATCTTAATCATTTTACAGATCCTAAAATATTTTGTTTTAAATTTTATTTTTTGGGGTTAATTTGAAAATTTTGAGAAGTTCTTGAATTAATCAGAATTAAATTTTCATTCACTAACGGTTGCTAAATTAGAAGTGTTCTAGATTCATAAAAATCACATGTACGTGAAAATCGACAAAAATTTTATGATTGGGCCGTTTTTTTTAAATCAAACCATTTTGTTTTCTTAATCAAACAATCTTGACAGAATATTTTCATGAATTTCATTTTAAAGTTCTGGCATGTTAAAATGATTCAAGTATTGTGTTAATAGATGCAAAATAAATCACTTCATCGGAGAGAGAACAGGGGAGGTAACGACAAAAATTCAAAAACTAGTGCATTATTTGAACCATTAGTGCAATATTTGAATTACTACTGCAGTATTTGAATTACTAGTGCAAAATTTGAAACTCTAGGGCAAAAAAAAGAAGAAACCTAAAACACTAAAACGAAGTTTCTCCCCATTTTCAATGCAAAAAAAAAAACCTAACCAGGTTAATTCAAAATTCTTGATTTCGTTTGTTGGTTTTCTTATTTAATTCTAATTGGTAAATAGAGTAATTGTCTACTTTGTGACGTGCCTATTTTTCATTAGTTAAACATACTTAATTTGGTGGGTGCTGATAGCATTCCCAGAAAGTGTGCATGCAGGTTTTTTTGCGTAGGGTTGCAAGTCGAACTTCCCGTTCCTCTCAACAATTACTGCATCGCAAAATTATTGCATCTAAACTAAAAAGCAGTGGATGATTTTAAGAGCAAGGGTGGTTTTTAGAAAAAAACTTCTGCCTTTTTTTAGATCATTTAAAATGATTTTTTGAGCTCTCGACATTATAAAAATCTGCGCTAGTTGAAAACCTTTCAGAAAATGTGACAAAATAATAATTCAATTGCATTTGAAATTGCCATTTTATGCAGGTCCTGGAAAATCATTTTGATCGATCTGCAATTGCGAAAATAATCGAATTAACTTCGAGAGCAGTGTAAAATTGATAAAAATTATTGTTCGACCATTGAAAATGGGGAAGAATTTTGTATTTATTTATTTTTGTTTTCCACGCAAAATCAAGTGCCACAAAAAATTGTCACACTGGGTTGAATGATATATCTTTTTAAAGCCCCTCCATTCGTACTTTGAACCAGATTTGAAATTTCCCAAAATTTGTTTCCAGTGTCGAGAAAAATTGATTAGAAATTTCTAGTAACGAAAGCCAGCGAGCAGGCTCATTTATGCTTATTTTAGGCCGTTTACAAAAGCTTATTTACAATTTATTTTAATTTTACTCGAGTTAAATTAGATTTTGAAGAATTTCTGCAAAAAAAAAATTAAAAACAAAATGATTTTTTTAAATTTATTAATATAATTGCTTTGATTTTTTTGTCAATTCCTTAAAAAACTGTTGTCTTGTTTGCCTATTTACTATGATTGTTAAATGTGCCTAAATTATAGGTTTTCGTCAGATCTTTTTATCACACCACGCATCAAAAACTACGCTAATTTCGAAAACAAAAAACTTTTCCCTTGTAGTTTTTTTGAATACTATGGTCGAAACATTATGGCTACTTGCACAGTAATCGGCTATCCTTATTTCGATTTGGCCTCTGTTTACAAAGCATTTTTTCGATTTGGCCTCTGTTTACAAAGCATATGTTGTTTTCTCTGCTACAGTTCTGTAATCACGGCGAAATTTATAAAATACACATTTATACAAGGAAAAGGTAATCTGAAAAGTATGAAAGCGCTTTTTTGTACTTCAGTTTTTCTGACAAAATTTGATTTAAAATTTATTTAAAAGAATTAAATAACTTGAAAGCTTTGATTTGAGTTGATATAATTTCGAAAAAGTTTCGATATAAATTATTTATCATTTTTTTGATGTCTCGACGTTCGAGCAAAAAATTGACGTAATTTTGATTTATTTGACTCAGCGGACTGGAAATTGTCATCTTATTATACACATAAATCATGTCACTTTATTTCAAATTGAAAATGTTGTTTTTTTAGCCAATCGTAGTTGAAATATATACCCAAAAAATTAACATTTATCAGTTTTTGGGCATTTTTTTACCGATGCAGATTACATTAACTTGCCTTTTGTTTAGCTTGATTTGTTATTTTCTTAGCTGCTGATTTTATTCAGACAAAAGGAAAAAGAAAATTTACCATTCTTTTCAGAGACTGTGCCGAGGTTGATATTCATAAAATTCATACTTTTATAGACAGTCTGGGCTATAAAAGTAATATATTGTGTAAAATTTTGTCATTACAATTCAGCTGCACATTTTTTATGCCAATATCCTTGAAGTCAAAAACAACTTTTTTTCTACAACTTTGTTTATTTTACTTTTGATTTTTATTGAGTTATTGGATGGTAAATAAAAAATACGAAATGACCATCTGGTTTATAACTGTTCAATATCCGAGTTAAGAACTTTTTAAACAATAACTGAGTTACTTAAATGTACTTTAAAAGGCGGCTGCCGATATCGATTTTTATTTGGTTTTCATTCTGTTAAAATCTTTTGAGTTATAATTGTGTAACCGTTAACACTTAAAAACAGGACTTTACCATTTTTTCCGTGCGGTGTCACTTATTTTGTACTAGCTTCATGCTTAGTTTATTACCCTGTTTTATTGCATAAGTCCCTTCTTTACTTTTGGTTACTAGTCCAAGATTCCTTGAATTATGATCCGATTGTGGGTCAGCCTTAATGTCGCGGTCTGATTAGCCCAAAATCGAAAACAAACTCCCCTCAAAATGTGAAGAAATCGACTTAATGCGCATTTCGTTCAAATTTTCTCAAATGATTTCCGTGCTGATTATAAAAATTTATCCGCCTTCTTTCTATTATTCTTCCGACCATCTATAGAAATTGATTTCCAACAGTGCTTAAGAGAAGATTTTACTTATTGGTCTGTTTAATCTGCACCTAAAGTATAATCCCCGCTGGTTTCAAATCAGAGAAGTAATCGAAAGAAAAAGTAGCTGCCTGTCGATTAGACTCGCTTTTGTTACAAAATCAATCTTTTGCTAAAAAATCAATCTTTTTTTAAAATGACAGCAAAAGCAGCTAGCAGTTTTACATCTCTTCACTTTTTACCTTTTTCTTTAGACAGAATTGTAGTTTTATTTGTATTTATTCACTTTGAGATGTTTTTTAATGGAGTTATGGCTCTGAAACTGGAAACAAACAGGGCTTTGAAACTTCAGGAGGAGTACAACAAGCATCTGCGGCCAAATCATAAAGGTAGACAGACTTCAAAATTATTCAAGCCATCAGGTGCGGATCTAGGATTTTCTCGAGGAGAGGGTGGTGGGTAGATTTTCAAAAAAATTCGAAAGTTTTGTCGACCTTTTTTAGGTAGACTAAATTGATTTTCGTGGGCTCCATCGTGACAAAATTAACAGCGCCGCAGGCTTGAAAAAACAAGGCAAAAAAGGCGGTTTTTTGGCGCGCGCCCCCCTCAAAATTGTATATTTATACGCCAAAAGCGCGTTTAGAAAACTTCTAGGGTCAGTCAGCCAAAAATGGATGTCTCAAAATAGTTTAAAGATGACCGTTTGGGTTGGCAGGGAGTCGAATCCCGGAGGGAGGGCGTTCGTAGTCCCCCTACCTCCTACCCCATAAAACCGCTGGTGCAAGCCACTATACGAAAAGGGAAAAAACCAAAATTACAACCGATTTATGAAAAAATGCTGGTCATAGATTTTCCGAGCAATTTTTTGAAGTTATGGACTCGGGTTGGCCTGCATTTACTAAAAAAAGCTTGCCATACAATTCCATACAACAAAAAATTTTTATCTTACTATTCCATATATCAATAATTCCTTGCAGTCATTTTTTGATGGCAATTGTCATCCGGCACGGATCGATACACTTTGATGCATTTATATTTAAATCACTATGTGAGTAAACCTTCTGTTTGGTCGGTTGACCTTGTAAAGGCGTCAAGCCAGTGATTTGTTTGAGCAGTAGTTCAGACGTCATTAAATAATTTTATGAATCAGTTGTTTTGTTTCGCTTACGCAAGAGATCTTGTTTATCAATCCGTTTGGATTCAGTTATCAACTTGTTCACCACCGCTGTATGACATGGCGCAGTCAGCATGATTTTCAGAAAATCCGTTAAATATCAATCCATTTTGAGAGAAGGCTTCTGCTGAACCACCATTAGAATGGTCTAAATGGGCAGCAATACTTGAGAAGGCTGTGTTTGCAAAAGATGGCATCGAGGTACGAAACTTGTTAAGAACTAAACCACCACTAATCAAACCCGTAGAATCTATTTATGAAATCGAATTATTGGTGAGACGGAGGCGCAGAACAAAAATAGTGACGTAAGAAACCAAGAGAAGCGAGTCGGTTGAGAAAACTGCCTGCAAAAAGCCAAAGAAAAAGGAGTATTGTGTAACTGGTTCCCTTGGGACGAGGCGGATGCAAAAAACCGCAGTTGTTTTATCCCGTTCATCGGCGCGGAACGACAACGGCAGGTTCAACAAAAGACTTTTTGTCGATTTTAGAAGACTGTTTTGTGACCACAAGGATTATAGCATTCGAACGATACAACTTTATCTGTTGCAAACAAAAGAAAACAGAACGTAGCGAACAACTCCACGCAAAATTTAGTTGAACTGGCTTCAAGTGCCGACTGCGAAGATCGAGAGGACGAGTGGGCGAGAGATATGCTTACTGCTCTCATGCACAACTATAAAATCGTTGAATACTTATAAGCTGAAACGCGAAGTCCTCAAGATGCTTACGAATATGCAATCCACCGAGAAAAAGGTATCGAACATAGTCGAACAATGCAAAAAAACCCATTCATATGACAAATAACAACAACAAAGTAAGAACCAGAAAACTACATCAAACCAAGTGGTCGAGGTAACTACACAATCATTCGGAACCCACAATGAGGTCGAGGCGGATTCCACCGTAGACCTTATACGCGTGGAACACAGAACACAAGAGTCGACAGTCACAAACCAACTAAAATTCACAAAAGCAATGTTGCAAGCGCGGCAGACAATTCGGTTCAAACCATTCATAATCGTGCCCAACAAAACTTGCTCAAAATGTGCCAAACGCATCATGTAGATGCGTCATGTAGATCTACAAAAGTCAATTGTTTGAAGGATTGGAATGACGAAAAACAAAAAGTAGAAACTGAAACCGATATACTAGATAATGACCCAGTTGCGTTTGCAGAATCTACATCCAAAGATGGTTGGGAAGAATGGCAAGTTGACAAATTTTCATTTGTGGCAATTTCAGAAGAGTTCGAGTTGAAAAACTCAGCCAGCTTGTCGGAAGATGACCTCAACAGACACATCGTAAAATTGAGAACTAAAAAAGAGGACGTGTTCGCCATTGACAACTCTGGAATCCCGATTTAATTTCTCAACGAAAAATGGCTCTGCGACAACAAGAAATTGACAAATCAATAAAATTCATATGTTTTCCTCCAGAAGAGGCCGCTAACAATTTGGCATGTTATAATGGTGAATACATAACTCAAAAGGGAAGACTAGTTATTGCGATAGAATCTGGAGGCTGGACGCTTCAATCAGCGCCATTCTTCATCGTAGATGACCAAATGCAAACGTAATATGCAGAAACATACTAGCGCAAATTGCTTTCAAATTGATACAAGAAAACCAAAGTGATATCAAATGGTGAGCATACAAGAAACGGAAGAATCAAGATCGGAAATCAAACAGTGGGTTAAAGATAATTTCAAACAATTGTGCTTACGAATCGCAGAATTATAAAATACATAATGCGCACGCAATTCAGATAAGAAGCAACCCCCAATTTACAAAAAGGGCGCTGAATCCCCATACGTTTGCCTGAGCGGGTTGAAAACGAACTCAACAAAATAATGTAATTAACCCACATAATCAAAGTAAGCTAATGTTTAGATCGGCAGTTCAATAGCCCAATCGTTATAACCGTAAGAAAGGACCAGACAGTCAAGTTGGCATTGGATTCCAAAAAGAAAAATAAAGTTATTCACGAAAATAAATAACAGTTGCCAAACATAGATCTCCTTTTGGAAAAAATTGCACAGGTGCTCAAACCAGACAAGTCTCAACAAGCAATATTTTCTACTCTTTATTTGCGGTACACTTACTAACCAATCCCGTTGGACATGCCAACCAGAGAACAATGCAATTTTAGTTTCATCGGAGACAACGCCCCCTGACATATCATTTCCAAACCGGATTTTACTGTCTCACTGACATGCCGGCCGAATTCCAGAAGGCAATTGACTTAAAGCTCACAAATGGAACAAATACAAACGCTCATCTGGATGACATATTGATAATAATGAAAGGATCACTCGAGCTACATATAGAAAAGTTACAAACAGTTCTGACAACATTAGACGAAGAAAACCTGGCAATATTATTTGACAAAGGTAAGTTTGCATGCAAACAAATTGAATGGCTTGGGTACAACAACAACAGGGAGGGAACTAACCCACTCATATAAGAAACAGAAGCTATTGAAAAATTATCACCTCCAAAAACTTTTAAACAACTGAAAAGTTTTATGGGTTCTATACTTCTATACATCAAATAACACGTTACCTTCTTAACTTAGCACAAACCGCCGCCGCTCTACGTCCACTGCTGAAAAATACAGAAAAGAACAAACTAACTGATTGGAAACCCGAACAAAACACAACATTCGATAGCATTATAAAATTAGTTTCAGAAATGAAGCAAAATAAAACTTTTATTAAATATGCGCGTGGTGTGCGATGCCTATAGGTCAAGCTTAGGGGCCGAGCAAGAGTTTCGGGAAGACTGGGTGGGCATAGCTTATTCTTCACGTTTCTTAAATTCACTGAAAGAAAAACAGTCAGTTAACAAACTAGAATTACTCGGGTTAGTTTGAGCCTTCGATCATTTTAAATACTAACTATATGGAACTTATTTAGAGAAAAAATCGGGCTAATAGACTATATATCGAAAAATCCTGTTAGATTAGCAATACCCCCAAGCGCGTATGACAAGGAATTCGTACTAGCGTCAATTAGATCATTCATAAACAACCTTGAAATAATTGACAACGTCATACTGAATAATCTAGCCAATCAGAAAAAGGCACCATATCGGCTGATCAAAAAATATCGTGGATAATAAAAGATCGGTAACTAGCACTACCAACTCCCAATTGAAATTCAAACGTTCCGCACATTCCGCATGCGGTTATTCTCAAACTTCCAAATAAAATCAGTTCTGCTCAAAATATTAGTTCAGTCCAAAAAACTAGCATTCTAAACATTCTGTCAAAACAATCTACAAACAAGAGCAATTGAGTCGAAAAGCGGACTTAAAGGGAGTCAAAGGTGGGTTCCTGCCGGATGACGTAAATATGCTTGAGGCACGAGGTAGTAAAGAAATCCAATGGCAGGTCCCATCGGACAGAGGGGAAAGTTTGTCCGACCCACGGTGGCACAAGCGGAAACCAGCCACAATGAAATGAAAATCATCCACCACGCCCCCGCCAACAGTAGAAGTTAAGGACGCACAAGAAATCTTATCATCAAAACCAAAAAAGCGATCTAACTTCTCGAAAGTTGTGTTTAGCGATAACACGCCAGTCACCGATACACAATCATCAGCAACACTGAAGAAAATGGCAGCTGAAGCAGCGCAGACGAAGGAAATAATGATGACAGCCGCCACCCAAACCAAACTTTCCATCGAAGTGCACGAGACTTACGAATACTGTGTGAGCCGCATGGATCCAACTCAATGCAGGCAAGAAGAACTTATTCCAAAAATTGAACCACCCACCATGCAGGACACGCAACAAACGCAACTAGAAGCTAGCCATCACTTGATCACAGAGGAAATCATCGCCACAATTGACCAGTGTACGAATACTGAGTCAGGGAAGGACACATCGCTATTTCGACGAAAACTCGGGGTACGATTCATCGCCGCCGCCACAAAAAAGGACAAAAGCCTACGACAACTAATAAAATTTGTCATGAAACGAGACTGGACGCCATAAAAATTTCGTTAGGGCAATACTGGTTCAACATACAAAATAGACTGCACGTAAGAGAAAACTTTTTGCTGATCGACGAAAAAATTGTCATCCCAACACAACTGAGACAAACAGTACTGGAATGTTTGCAACTGACCCATCCTTGATCATTGGCCATGTTCGATATGTATCAGTACGTGTGGTTTCCACACATAAATCGTTCATAAGTTCAAATGGCACAAA